ATATTTTATTCACAAATAAAATAAAAAAAATTAAAAATTATTTTTCTGCCTACACTTTTCTTTCCTGTTCTATCGTTGTTGCTTTGTCACAAAACATCAGATAGATTAAAGCAGAGATTAAAGCTAAGTCGGTGTTTAGACACGGTTTGAACTCTCGACATGATTCATTCATGTTCTCTTAATTATTCTCTACTACTTTACAGTGTCACTAGTTTGTAGTTCAAAAGGTCCCGTTTATTTTCCCATTCTTGAAGATAGAAAAACGTTGATTGCCTTTCATTCTTATATAATTTTGTTTTCTATTGAGGTGTAGATCGTTGCCAAACATCTTTTTTCAGCTCCACGGCGGCCTCCAACAACTTCACCTAATGTTCTCACACACACACACACATGTACATCTCTCATAACCGGCTTGGTATCACATCTCCTGCACCTGTAATTCCCCCCCCCCACCCCATATTCTTCTGCCCACGCACCTGTCCACTACCATACTTGCTTCACTCTCACCATCTCAGTTAATGCTATTACTTAAAATATTAAACCATGCCAGAGTACAGACGTAGCTCCGAGGCAGCAACTCTTGAGATGGCAGGTCCAGCCATTCGTTACTTGGCAAAAAAGAAAACGATGTCACTCGCATCCTAGTTTGTTAAGCTTTAACAAGTGATTTCTCACACCAAACTGGATTCTGGAAATGGTTGGAGGGTCAGCTTAATAATGCTAGTTTAAGCACGTGAAAACTAAAATCTTGTGTCATTCAGAAGGGGGACATTAAATTCTATGTGCTGACAAAAAGATCATTATTTAGTTAGAATTGCTAAGTCCCATGCAGTGTTGTCCTGATACACCGGTGTACCGTTAAACTGAGGCCCACTCTTACAATAGGATATGCCATAATGTCCACAATGGAGCCACCCAACTTTCTACCATCTTTCCACCATCTTTCTATAACGAAGATCAGATACGAACAACGCCAACTACGTAGTCGTCCTTTCATCGTCAAATATTAGTTTATCTAATAAGCGTTTAATGGATTATTGTGTAAAGGAGTTCCTTCAAATTCAAATACCTGATATCTGATTAAAGTTGTAACACTATTCTATAAATAATTATTTTTTAAAGCGAGAACGTCATTTGTAGTAAAAAAAAAAAAGACCTCGATACTTTTACTTATGGCAGTATACAAGTTGAACCGCAATGTTTGTAGTAACTCAAAGCTTGAACAACAAACTCTCTGGTAACACAAGACCTGAACAACAAACTCTCTGGTAACACAAGACCTGAACAACAAGCTCTCTGGTAACACAAGACCTGTACAACAAACTCTCTGGTAACACAAGACCTGTACAACAAACTTTGTGGTGACACAAGTCGTGTGAAATAAGCTCTGTGGTAACACAACACCTAAACAACGAGCTGTCACAACACAGGTCCTAACAACAAGGTATGTGGCAACACAAGATATAAACAAGTTCTGTGGCAACACAAGACATAAATAACAAGCTATGGCAACACAAGTCTTAAACAACAAGGTATGTGACAAAAGTAATCCTGATAAACAAGACAATGTGTGGTGTCACAAGGTCTGAGGTAACCAAAAGCTTGAGCAACTTTATTTGTGAAATCACAACATTGGACAATGTCACATGTGTAAGCACAAATGAGCAAATTCTACCAAGAGCACATCAGATGAACCTGTTGCCAAGTCACATGGGAATAATAGGAAATGACATTGCAGACGAAGCTGCAAAACTTGCAACTAAGAGAAGAAATGTAGACATTTACATACCACAGAGTCTATCATTAGAAAGTAATAGACAAGAAAGGAAAGAAAGAAAGGAAGGACAAGAAAGTAATAGGAAATAGAGCAATGCAAAAGATGTACAGTGACCACAATACAGCAGTTGCAACATCAGGATCTGCGGGTTGGTACAAGAATTCAACCAACTACGAACCACTTATTTTGATGAAAGGGAGCAGTAGAGCAACAGAAGTACACTTACATCGCATCAGGCTTGGATACCCATGTGCATGGGAAATAGGCTTACAGGTTCCGGAAGATGAGAGGAAATGTCAGCACTGTAGAGAAATGCCCGACAGACTACTGGAACATTATCTAACACAATGCAGTTACAAACACATTATGATTTCAACTTAGATTCAACAGAGCAGAAGTTGTTGTTAAACACATTGGACAAAATCTTACTGAAGCGACCATACGAGTCATAAATACTCATACTCCGCCCAAGTAAAACAGAAACAAGCAACACTTAGTGGGCCAGCCAGAGGCTTAGGGCCCGCGCAGGAATATCCCTGCGAAAAAAAGATGAACAGTTCACATGGTTAATTAGTGGTAGAACACTAACCAACTTCCTCGGATAGCACAAGGTTGTAGTTCAACTTGTGTTGGCACGACCAAATATTTTCACCCGACAGCACAAAGCAGCATATTTGTTGTGGTCTAACACGCATTCTAATTATAAAATGGTTCCCTAATATACGAGGTAGGACACCTTATAAGCTTACAAACGTCCCCCAAGGCCAGTTACTGACCTTCCCCAGGAAGCTTTCTACTGTAGCTGAATAGTTCCTCGATATATCCGTTTACTGCTAGGTGAACAGAGGGATCAGGTGAAAGGAAATGTGCCCAAATATCTTAATACTGCTTTGTAAATTGAACCCCAGGACCCCTCGTATGAGACCTGGCTGAACTGACCACTGAGCTACAGTAACATGTCATCGTAACAAGATGGCACAAGACCTAAGACGATTTATCCCATTATTGAAATAAATTAAACAGGCTAATACCTGTTTAATTTATGCAAAATCTTTTGATTGAGTGTAGGACCTCTCCACATACACAGAATGTGTTTCATCATTGTGGGAAAAGTGGTTTGCATACATATATTTTCAAATCTTTCGTTTTCAGCAATTTTTGTATGCTAGTGTCCAAAGGGTATTAATATAGATGTACCTGTAGTTAGAATAACAACTTTGTCTCAAGTTCCATAGTATTATTGCAGTGGAACACATAACTGACATTTGAGGGGGATGAGAATTCCACATTAAAGAAACTTTGGCCTCGTGAATCACAAATAATTAGACGTTCTAATTGTGTACCACTAGACACGCTATCTTCCTGAATTTTCTCATTATATTATAGCACTTCATAGTGATTCATATTCCAATATACACACAGACCTTCCATTTATTATGAGTGTTCTTTATCAGTATCTATGTGCTATTTAAAACCTTGGGAGTTCACAGCTTCTGGGGTAATAAATAGTTCTCAAAAGTTTCTTATAGCTATGACACCACAAGCAAGTTGAGTGTAGTACTAAGATGTTAAACTGTCAATTCAGTAACTACCACAATTTAGTCATGGGTGCAGTAGTATTCAGGCACTGCTAGAACCACAAGCTTAACCTACTGTTCCTTCTCTTCAGAGTAGCTGAATCTTCAACAACTGTTCCTTCTCGTACATGATGCCAGGCCTCAAACTATCGAACTGTTACTAGTTCAACATCATTCATATCTGACTCAGAATTGTCAAATATATTTTCAGAAGCAAGCAGCCACAGTTTGGCTATTGTACAAGCATATCTTTAAGTCTTTTTAAAACTTAACTTTAAACTTTAGACAAATCAATGTAAATACTGTATCAGTTTCACTTAAGATTTATTTAAATACTGTACTGTACTGTTTAATTAATGTTTCTAGTTTTGGTGAATGAGTGGTTACTTTTTAGTATATACAGTATACATATATGTCATACCTAGTAGCCAGAATGCACTTCTTGGCCTACTATGCAAGGCCCAACTTGCCTAATAGGCCGAGTGATTTTCTTTATTTAAAAAAAATAAAAAATTTTATTTGAATTATTATTATATTATATTAAGACATAAATTATTGACTTAGTTATGTTATGTTAGTTTAGATTAGATTAGGTTAGGTTAGGTCATATATCTACGTTAGTTTTAACTCAAATCAAATTTTTTTTAACTCATACATAATGAAATGGATAACTTATATAACTTAAATAAGCAAATTTTTTTTTAAATATATAAATTCAGGAAAACTTGGCTTATAGGCAAATCGGGCCTTGCATAGTAGACTGAGTACTGCATTCTGGCTACTAGGTAGCCAGAAAAATATATATAAGGCCCGATATGCCTATATATATATATATATATATATATAACCTTACCTATAAATATATATATATATATATATCATTTCATATATATATATATATATACGATATATATATATATATATATATATATATATATATATATATATATATATATATATATATATATATATATATATATATATATATATATATATATATATATATATATATATATATATATATATATATATATATATATATATATATATATATATATATATATATATATATATATATATATACTAGTACTGTATTATATTTTAAAATTGATCCATTACCTGTAAATTCATCCAGCAAGACCTTGCATGATTTCTTGCAAGTTTGCATAAAAAAAATAGCAAAATATAATTGGTAAGAGAAACCTCTGACAAAGTTGTCCTTTTTTGTCTTTATTGGACAATTGGAAATTTGTGGTAAATTGACATTCTTAAATAGGAGACTCGCTCCACTGGGGCATTACAATAGAGCTCCAGTCAGTCCATCACGCCAGGCGGGGGCAACCAATGAGTGTGTTCAGTAATTGGCTTTATTATTATTATTATTATTTATCAGTACAAGAAAATATACAATAAGGTAATCATATAAACCTTAGGCTTATGTCTAGCTACAATAAGATACAAATCACCGTTATAATCTAATTTGGAATATGATGAGAAGGGAGAAAAGATATAATATTATTTAGTGACTTCTATTGCACTGCTTGTTTGTTTTTGACACTTGGAATAGGGTTGATTTTACTTTTTTTTATATATATATATATATATATATATATATATATATATATATATATATATATATATATATATATATATATATATATATATATATATATATATGACGGAAGCACAGTGTAATTGGAATAGACCAAAAACATACATATGTAGTAGGAACGTTATTTTTCATTGAAACAAGTGACATAGAAAAGATGCCATTTATCTGCCTGTAATTTAATACATTCAAGTTGGGGTCTCTATGTTCTTTGTACTTGAAAGCATCCTGTTTAAAAGTCAAATGTGTATCACTTATAAAGACAAGGGATGATGAACTATATAAGGTTTTCCATAGTGTTCCAAGTTCAAAGTGAAGGAACTGGATAAACACAGACACACGAACACACAATATGGAGAGTGACGTAGGAAACACTGAGAGAAAGTGGTTGGAAGGCAAGGAATCCAGATGACGATTCTGTCCACTGGCATAATCGTGATCCTTATTTACTTTTTTATGTTATTTATAAGAGTGTATCTCTTCTTGTAAATGCATATGGTTCACTTTACATACAAAATATTTGTTTATAATTTGTTCACAATATATACATATATATTAGGCATTTCTTTAAAAACATGCTTGTTTATTCTTACATTTAAAAAACTCCTTATAGGAAATGTAAACAGCCTGGACAGAACCGCAAAGTCTGGCACCAAAGAGAGGGTCTAGGCCCGTGCTCAGTTTTCAGTTTTTTTATAAATTGACTTTTTTCTCTCTCCATATGAAAGCAGAGATTTGTGAGCATTTGTAGCGAGATCGTAAAAACTGCACAAGCCTATACACCACAGTAGAGTCAAAGATCGGACATTAATAGGAAAAAATCTAGGTCTAGATTAGGCTACTACGGAATAATAAAATGGAATACCATATTTTGGAGGGAAATGTTGAGAGAGCAAATGGGACAAAAAATAAATTTCTCCGCGCAGTCATGGACATTTAAGGGATCTTTCTTTATATCACACATTGAAAGTCACTTCTAGCAGCTACGTTGGAATGCTTATTGAGAATGCAAACATCTTCCGTTTAACCATCTACAGAACTTTAAACGCATTCTTTGCGCCCAGTATATACATATATATACATATATACATTATATAATCATATACATATATATATATGTATATATTTATATATATACAGCAAGATTCCACAGAGATGAAAAGGCACGACACCGTTCAAACATGATGGCCCTGTTGTCATGCTGTTCGTTGCAGTCACAGCGCCATTTCCAATTAAAATGTACTTACTTTCTAAAAATGTTTATGGATGAACAAACAGCAAAGGGGAATGTACTGAATCAAACCTCCTTGCTATTGGTGCTCACTTTGCCAATCAAATTCCAGAGTTCCCCGAAGAGTACAGAGACCAAAGTGAAGCCACCAATCAGGAGACTAGAGAGAACGGGATCGGGCGAAATAGAGGAATGCTATTGGCCAGGAGAGGGTCACGTGACAATAGGATGTTGGTAAGTTGAGGAGGGACACCGCAAGAAAGCCCCTGACTTGTATGAAAGACAGCAATCTGAGGTCTCCTATGTGGAGCCCTCTCACGGCACCCTTTTATGGGAATCTACAGGAAGTGAGGAGGTGAAAGACTTTGACTGGGAGCCTTAGTGGTCGACGCTGCCAGTTAGTCACCTGTCATGGACGTTACTCTGTGTATAGCCTTGGGCCCGGCTCAGGGTGATATGGAAGCACTCTGGTACACTATTGTGGTGAAGTATGGTCTCTATACAAAATAAATTTGCATATGTATACTTGATAAAAATAAAATTCTAAATGTTATCCACATTCCTAACAAGATCCTATTAGAAATCTCCAGTAGTCGTTTTGGCACAATCGTTGCTTACAACCAAGTTAAACTGGCATTTCGTTTGACAATATAGATAAGAAAGTAGCATGAAGAAATTAGCTCCTGAAAGCTAAAAGATGCAAGATAATCAAGTGCCAAGTAAAAGACAACAGAAAACTAACTAGACTAGCAATATGACTAACAATGCAGCTGACAGACACGTTAAAGAATCATGTTGTCAGTACTTGAATAACTGAAGCGAAGAGGTACAAGAGAACCTTCAGAATGTTCGAAAAATGATAGAACTACATGGCATGCCTTGGAAATCTAGAAAATAGAAAGATTGCACATGTTGAGATTATTTTGGACTAACAGTATGACATAACCAGCTACAATGGTCCTTTGTTTTAAGTTTATATTTGTCTTTTAGTTAAGCAATAAATTTGACACTGATTTATCAAGAGCCAAGGTAGCTGGTAGTATCACTATTAAGGATGCTGGCACGAGGCACGAGGGATCCACTAGTACTAGACGCTGGGAATCGTGTATTGTTCCTAGTACGCTTATGGAAGACAGTGGATTTATTAGCGGAATACCTGCTCATCTTCTTACTTCACTGCAGTGTTGCCCACTACTCTTCAGAAGATAATTACTTTCTTTTAGGAGTGCTTAAAAGATAATTCATTAATTGCAATTCTCCAGGCTACTAAAAGAAAGTGAAACATAAAAAATACTTCATAATAATATATTCCTTCTACAGACAATATTAATAATACAAATGCATATTTCTCTCAAATATAAATATATTCTTTCTTGGCAACACTGCTTCTTTATGCGGCACTACACTCTGGCACTACACTTGAGTATTGGACAGGTACTGGCTGGAGGTGTAAGGGCCTAACCCGCCTTGGTTCAACGCCTAACTATCATAACTACTTAACTATGAGAATGACAGAAAGAGAGAAAGATGAGGGACCAAGAGGAAGCTGCCCCATTTCCAGGTTCCAGCCTTAAGGACCCTCTTAAAAAGTTTTCGTAAGTGAAGATAAAAGTGATTGGCACATGCGAATTCACATTAATCCTATTCAAAAGTAAATATAATTATAATTCTTTTTAAATAACAAAGAAACACTGCATAGTATGTCCAGGTAAATCTAGCAATGTAAGTGGCACATCACTCGACATATTGCACACCAAGCATGCAGGCTTCCCTCATTACAATATGTCAAGTATAAGAAACATCAAATACTTTACGTCTTTCATCACTGATTTTTTGATCATAGACATGCCATTGCAAGTCACTATTTTGATTTAATTAATGTTATAGGAAATTCTCTTAATATCTGTTCGTTGTCACACATTCTTTGCATCACAATTTTTGTTTCTCAGTTCATGAGATATTTCACAGATTTACGCCACAACTTCTTCTTTTATAGTAGTAGGTGTGGTCTCGAGGGCTTCAGGAAGTGTTGCAGGTGAGGTGTTTTCAGATGACTCCTCTACTGGTGAGATAAGGGATGGGATGAGAGGTACTGTAGAGAGTGAATCAGCTGTGGCAGTAACAATTACTGACACACCTTCCCCAGCACTACTAATAATACCAACGCCACTGTCTGATGGTGAAGGGACGGGAGTAGAGGATTCTGAATGAGGGGCAGTGCCATCCGGATGGTAGGGCTTGCAATATGAATATCGGTGGTTCATATGCTGAGAATAGGAACCCGAGTGAGAGAACCTCTTGAGACACTTGTGGCATTGGTAAGGCTTCTCCCCTGTATGTAGTCGACTGTGTTCTGTTAGATGATGCTTGTGCTTGAATGCTTTGGGGCAGAGATCACACTTGAATGGGCGTTGGCCTGTAAAAATATTTTGCCCATCATATATATACACTTCATACTGAACTAACCTAAAGCATGACAATTTTTCCATATAAAAGGACAATCTGTCTCACTATTACTACTGTATTACTAATTACTCTATAACACAAATGTTTCAACAAAACATAAGGGGATATTGACATTCACCTCACCTGAGTGCTCGTACTTGTGGCGGGCAAGGGACGATTGTTTATTGAAGGACTTGTCACACTGGTCACACTGAAAAATACCACCCTCTTCCTCACGGCGTCTCTTGCGGCTTTCATCACCACTGTCATCATCCTATGAGTAGAAATTGGAGTTTAGTTTAAATAAATTACTATTAATATGCAACCACAATTACCAACTAATTGCAATGAAGAAAGGTAGTTACTCTATATGTATTACTTGTGCAACTGTTAAGACAAAAATAATGGCATGAACATTAGTGCAAGCAGGTTATAGTAAAGTATACAGTCATCAGAATACTACACACCACAACTATTGCCAACTCACCCTCGGTCGTTTCTCACTGGAATCCATATGGTCAGGATACAATGCTGGCAAGCCAAGCTTTGCCCCATGGAGAATCTGTGCCAACTTGCAGTGTTGTTCAGAGATCATAGTGGGCAAACCAGTCATTGTTAGCCCACTTGATTCTTTTTGTTCTGCTATATTATTATTGAGAGAGTTAGGTGTAGGTGTGCGAGATTCAGATTTGTAAGAAATTGCCAATGAGGTGGAATCTGCATCTGAATCAGAATATACAGAGGCTGGTTTTGGTGATGCTGATGGAGACGATTTTTTTGTGGAGAGATCAAGCGGTTGGTCATCATCATTTCCATCTGCTCCATCTGCAGGTATTGGCGAGGCACGACCATTGTGAAGAGGGTAGACTAGACCTGGTGGTGCCAACAGGGACGAGTAATAGGAGCCAATGCTTAAGGCCTTGGGATTAGCCTGAGTGTTGGGCGGAGCATAGCTGCTAGGAACATAGCTTGAAGGAGTATAGCTAGCAGGAGTATGGCTAGGATTGCTGTAGCTTGAGGGGTAACTGGCCTGGGAGTATGTTGGTGTTGGGGTAATTGACCGACCCTCACGACGGTCACGAGCTCGAGCATTCTGGAACCATACCTGCACCACTCGAACTGGAAAACCAATCTTTTCAGCAATGGTTAGCAATTCTTCTTTCTTAGGTCGGGGGTTAATAGCATAGTGGGCTCGCAGGACAATAAGCTGCTCCTCACGGATGTGAGAACGTACACGAACCTTCTTTCCATCACTGGTGGTCTCTTCATCATCTACAATATGGCCAGAATCTGCATCTCTCTCCTCATCCCTACTCAAAATGACCCGACTATGCATATATTGGGACTGAGAAATATGTTGAGATGGTTGCTGCCGTTGTTGATGGCGTTGAGGTTTCTGATTTTCTGCTAGCTCGTGTAACCTTGCTGCCAGACCCTCAATTAGATGTCCCTTGGCAGAGGTAACTTCAGGAAGACGCGGACACTGGCGGCAGGCATGTAGAAAAGCTTCACTACGATTTCTGAAGGTACTGCCACACAGCCTACAAGAAAGGTCATCAGCAATGGCTGCAGAGTCTAGTGCAAAGCCCTGAGAAGCTGATGATACTGTTTCTTCAAACTGATGTTTTGTGACACTTGTGTTGACACTTTCTAACATTTTCTTCAATGTGGACATACCTTCCTTATCACTCTTATTTGGAAAGTCGTTCTTTTCGTTTTGCTTACTTTCTTCTTGTTGAAGTTCTCCCTCTTCTTCCTCTTCCTCCTCTCTTGTCTCTTCCTTGATAACAAGTTCACCTGGCTCTCTGTCATCATCATCTTCCTGTGGTGCATTTTCACAGTGGTCTTTTTCTCCACTACCTTCCTGATGAGCTTTGTTGAGGGCTGCCTGGGTCATGGTGAGAGAGAGGAGCGATGAATACTGAGGGTGGAGTTGTGCAGCCAATATGAGGGAATTGAAAGGGTGGTAGGGTGACAAGCTTTGATGGAGATTGCCTGAAAGCCCTTGAGGTAAACTCTGGGAAAATCCCTGTGGCAAGCCTGCAGTTAGACTGGAACTACTGAGGCCACTTGGAGACACTAGTGATGGTGGAGACATGAGGAGAGAGTCCCTAGAGATGGGGCGTGTTGGTGAGGAATACCCGAGATCTGCTGAATGGGTTGGAGACTTGTCCTTGGGTAAGATTGGTAAGTAAGATCCATTAAGGATAGGCCGTTTGGTATGGGGTCCTGGAAACTGTGGGGATGTACGTTGCATCAGACCATTAGTCCTGCCACGTCCAAGCTGTGAAAAAAAAAATATTTTATCAAATAAAAGACTAAGTAATTATTCAGTGTGCCTTAAGTGTAATGTTGTTGTACTCCAATTATATTTTAAGTTTCTTAAGGTTAAGTTCCCTCTGACACAATGAGTTCAGTACATAAGCAACACTCTGACAACACTATACTGTACAACATACTGTACCAACAACATAGTACTATACAACAGTATTAAAATACTGTACAACAGTACTAAAATACTGTACAACAGTACTAAAATACTGTACAACAGTACTAAAATACTGTACAACAGTACTAAAATACTGTACAACAGTACTAAAATACTGTACAACAGTACTAAAATACTGTACAACAGTACTAAAATACTGTACAACAGTACTAAAATACTGTACAACAGTACTAAAATACTGTACAACAGTACTAAAATACTGTACAACAGTACTAAAATACTGTACAACAGTACTAAAATACTGTACAACAGTACTAAAATACTGTACAACAGTACTAAAATACTGTACAACAGTACTAAAATACTGTACAACAGTACTAAAATACTGTACAACAGTAATAAAACACTGTATAACCATACTAAAATACTATACAGCAGTACAGTATTTTACAAAAAAACAAAAAAACAAAAAAGCTGATACTTTCATGGGTAAACATTTGACATATTTTCCCTTGAACTAGCATGATCACAGCACATGATCCTTACTTCATTTTTCATGTGTTGCAAACAAAAAAAATCTACTTCTGCCACAATTATTACCCACTAAGCCATCATAGTTTACTTTACATAGAAGCTTCAGCATTCACACAATTACACATGAGTCATTTCATCAAACCAAATGATGTTAATTCTGCCTTATCATTATCCCTGAAATTTAGTACACCCACTAAACATTAACTGTGTATTTTACTTATTTTAACCAATTCTAGCACCCCTATTACTCATGTTCACAAATTTGTTTTAAGATATTTAATTTCTTAAATTTAGATGTAGTTAACTTACACACAGAGTACTGTAATCACCTCACACATATGTTGCAATTATAACACACACCTATGCTGCAATATCACACACATACATTGAAGTTATACTACATATGTATGTTGCAAAACACAGATACACACATCTGTTGCAATTACCCTGTACACTCATTCTATAATTATCCTATGCACCTGGTGCAATTCACCTATTCACTTGATATAATTTTCCTAAACTTTCACAATTCTTATACTGTATTCTATATTTTCTGTCAATATAATATAATAATAATAATAAAAGTAATAAAAATGATAATAAAATTATAATAATAATACATTATTCATGAGACTGTGAATGCAAAGAACATAAGACAAAGGTACAATTGTATGTACAGGGGGGTTGCACAGTAAATGAAGCCACTATTGTGCAGAGGGTTATGAGCTCTTTATACAATACATTATCTTTTATAATATTTGTATATTCTCCTTAATTTATAACTAAACTTAATTTTTGGTATATTATTTGCTCAAGAATAACAGTTACAAAATAAAATTAACCCTTTGGTCATTGAGACTACTACTTGCAACAAGAGCAACTGTGTATTCAACTTTTCTCATTGCTATTTCTAAAGTACTTTTATTCCAACATTAAAAACTATTCCCTTACAGTAAATATTTAGATCATTATAGCACTTAATTCAGAGTGTTTTATCAGAGAATTTATAAATTAAAAATGGCAAATTTCAAAAGATGATGATATTCACCTGGCATTTTTTGGAGGACATGTGAGAAGAATATGACCCTGAATGGGAGAACCGCTTGCCACAGTGTTCACACTCAAAGGGCTTCTCACCACTATGAATCCTCTTGTGTTCCTGCAAGTAATCACATTATAAATACCAATAGCTTACAACATTAGGGTTTTTATATCTATATATACCCTAGGCTTCATATTAAAATAATTAAAACAATAGTAGTATAAAATTCTCTAATAATTAGGCAGCTTAATAGTTTACACAAGAGACTGAATTGGTAGGTGACAGGTGATAATGTGTTACCACTTCATATTTTTTTACTACCACAAAGCTCATACAGTAAATGGAATGCATTTGGAAGTGATGTGGTGGAGGCTGACTCCATACACTGTTTCAAATATAGATATGATATAGAGCGCAATAAGCTCAGGAACCTGTAAACCAATAGATTGACAGTTGAAAGGCAGAACAAAAGAGCCAGAGCTCAAGCCCCAAAAGCACAACTAGGTGAGAACAATCACATAAATAAATGTGATTGTCTCCTTGCTAAATAATAAAATATTTGGTGGACGTCTATTGTGTAACAAATCTGAAGCAAATTACAGTACCTGATTGATTAGAAAACTTAAATAATAAAATACAGCTATAATAAAACCACCAATCAAAGGTAGCAGAACGTCAGCAAGACTGAATGAGATATAAAATACTGTACTGACCAAAAACAAACTAATGTTGTCCTCACATACATTTAAAAAGTTCCCAAAACATAAACCACAATACTCAAAATTACTATTCCGCACTGTACAGTATATTGCATAGTCGGAGACTGGCCCATGGATTAGAGAGGGGGATGGTAATATCCCCTGGAACCAATCAAGTAGATCTAAAGCTATATCCATATTAAATATTGAGTTGATCAAATCTAAAACAGTATTGTGGAAATTGAGCTCTAGTGAAAAACTTATCAACCACATTGCCTGACACTTAATTTTTTTTTAATCGCATACAAAACAGTAAAAATATTTTAAAGATATTTACATTGCACCACTACAGTATTTGGATACTAACCCATGGGGTACTGTGCTATTTATATACAAGATAACATATCTAATTAAACCTGCATATTTAATCAGAAAAATGTGTAAAAAAAACACTTCAGTTACAGCAAAAATGGTGCCTATAATATTTTTATGGAGTGTTAAGAGCTGCCAGATTCTCTATATTGCTAGAAATGTAACTACCAATCCTTATTTACCAAACTCATAACATAATAATTATTGTAAATTTACCCTGAAAACTAGGTAGTTTTGACTACTACAATTACTGAATTGTGATTCTAAAACAATATCAATGTGATTGAATTGTGGTCACCAAACAATAATGATTATTTCTAACTTGGAGCAGTAACCATTGGGGCTACACCATATTTTACAAGTACTGTATTGACAAGTATGGTCAATTCAATGATCAATTCTGAATTGCACTGAATTGTAGTGTATTTTACAAATACTGTATTGACAAGCATGTCAATTCATTGATGCACTGAATTGACCATACAAATGCAAAACTTGAAATGTTAATCCAGAATGCCTATTTTTGTCTAGAAAGCAACATGCTATTACCTTGTATTACAAAACGTTCACAATTTTTTTTAACTAAAATTGTATTTTCTTTAACGTTAATTCACGGAAATTATCATACACCTCACTTATTTATACAATCTCACGGATGCAGGACGCGCGTACACGATAAAAAATTCTAATTAATTTTACAGCACCTGAGATACAGGCGCCTATGAAAAAAGAACGAAAAACTTTTTATTTCCTTAATGACAAGGTGTTTACGAGGGCCGCGACAGAAGAGCGTTGGCGGACGCGGGAGAGATAAGGCCACCGCCCGACGGGACAGGAAGCTTCACATGATACCAAAGTACTGTAGGTGCACGCATCTCCCTCCCTCATCCCTAACGCATCACCCACCACCACCAATGCAACTAACTTCTTGCCTTTCGAATGTCATATTCTAAGATACTAAATGGATATGCAAGCAAGAAAAAGTACTGAACATGTACAATAATAATGATTTATAAGACGGTAAATAACAAGGTGGTGGGTTAGCCATGTGCACGACCCCCACCCCTCCCTCTGCCGCAATCCCCCCCCCCCCAACATCCTGTCTACCTGCTAAGGGGAGGTGAGGCCCCGGAGCCCGCCCCTTACTACCGCCTTCCTTCCCTCCTACCCGGTCGGCCATAGCTCTTGCACTTAGATTCTAATACTTCTGGACATCTTTCTTCCCTTCATCTCGTGCACACTTCTTCCCATAACTTGTGCATATGTTCAAGAATATGTTCTGCCCGAAACGCTTTGCGTAATAGTGGCTTTAGGCATTGTATGTACTAGCTCTATCTATAAATCTATCATTTTTTGTATAACCTCTTGTTTGTATGTACTTTACCTGAATAAACATTTTTGTATTTATTTATTTATTTATAAAATTAAGAGTGATATGCATTAATGCTGAGATTTTTAAAAAATCATACGCGCACATAATGTGCTCAAATTTGAACCGCCTATATTCCTCTTAATATTGTTGCTACAGTAATATGGTCGCTCCACATCCAGTCACTCTCTCAAACTGCTGGGGATTTTTTTTTAAGTTAACGTTGCATTGTTTTCAGATTAAATGTAATCACCAATATACAGTTTGCACAGAAACCTCATAACGATGCCCGAAACGCTTGGCGTAATAGTGGCTTTAGGCATTGTATGTACTAGCTCTATCTATAAATCCATCTATGTTTTGTATCTCACCTTGTATGTATGTACTTTACCTGAATAAATATTTGATTTGATTGGACAGATAAAACAAAAACAAATCTTCTACAGTAACATTTCACATAGGAGCAAAATCTAGACCCCCCCCCCCCCTCTCAAACATTTCCACAGTTGCCTATGACCTACATAAGGACGCACACATCAACCGCTGCCCACGTTTTTCCCAGGCCGCCCAACGGACCCAACACCCGCCCTCGTGTCTCCCCGGCCGCCCAATGCACCCCAGACACCCACCATGATCCCTCCCACCCCCCATTATCCCCCCCCTCCCGTTCCTTCCTCAGGCCGCCCAACGAACGACTGACACCTACCAAGAATCCCCCCAACCCCCCTAGCCCCCCGGCTCCCCCCAGTCCCCCGGCTCCCCCCTTCCCCCCAATCCTTCCAACGGCCTTATGTTCGTCTCGCGTCTTACCTTGAGGTGGTGTTTGAACTTGAAGGCCTTGCCGCACTCGTCACACTTAAACCGTCTGAGTACGTCCGACTCCTGGTGGGAGATCATGTGTCGTTGCAGGCGGTGAATGTTGGCGAACTTCTTGTGGCACACCGAACACGACTGCACCCGGGAAAGAGATGAAATTAATTAGTAATCAGTGTTTTTATTGTCCGTATTCGATTTTTTTGTAAACAAAAATCAGTTAATTCATTGAATAAATTTCAGAATAATGTACAATGATTATATTTGCCAGAGCTAAAATTCAACGATAGAGAAAGGTTATCATTCGGTCGAGCTGCTTAAATTTACTAATTTAAAACATACAGTATTAGCCTTTATTTAATTTTCAGCCGGCATTTTATACCACTTATTGTATAGCACCGTACTGAACTACAGTATATTCTTCTTTGTTTAGCGAAATACACGTAGCTTGAACAAGCCTATTAGACAATATAATTGTGTAAAATTCATTTGAAATTTGCACCTTCGTTTTTAATCCATTTTATTACGCGAGAACAAATTTACCTTTTGTTTTAAGGACCCTTCGTGGCTGTCTCAACAAAAGTATTTTGTATCAGGCAATTCTGTGTTGATCAAACAGTTGCATATCTCAGTGTGCCATGTTTACAAACGCGAAGAGGGAGGAAGGGGAGGAGAAAGGAGGAGCAACAGGTGCTGCAGCAACAAACGATAAACTCTCCTCAAGTGCATGACAAGCTTAACAATTTACCGGGGAAAAAACATTGCAAGTCAACGGAATCTTATTAAGGAACTTCACAAGCTTTGAGATCTTTTTTATTTGACCACACTGACTTTAATGGATGTGCTAGGCCATGGAATACGAGTTCAGTTAACCTGATGGGCTACAAAGCAATAACGTTTATATAAGTATAAAGTAGCTAAAGTAGTCACGGAGCGAATGAGAAGCTTAACGAAAATGCCCTCATGGACAAATAAATATTCGTCTTCTAAAAACGGCGAATCATTATCATATTTTAAACTAATAATTCCTTATTAGTTTATTCGAATTAGTAACGTAAAAAGTCGTGAAAACACCGTGAATCAAATTCAGGCCCAGTAAAAATGGTTGGAATTAATTACGAAGGGGATAATAAATCAATACAGTACTCTAAATCCAAACGGAAAACTAAGATCAGGAGAAGTAATTTAGATAAAACAATTAAACCACGGGACTTATCCTATCAGAATATCCGGTGGATGTCAGAAAATTTTGTGCGACTGGCTAACATGATTATTCACAACTGTTTAAATATTTTGCAATTACAAATTTCTAACTTTTAATAACAAGTTAAATATGTTGGGAGTTAGGCACTCTTTAAACGGTGTACGGTATAGAATTACAGTACTGAATGTGCGTTTGGGTGTGGTGTGCCTTCGTTGTTAGCGTGTATCTTGAGGTTATCTTTAGATGATTTCGGAGCTTTTGTGTCCCCGCGGCCCGGTCCTCGACCAGGCCTCCACCCCGAGGAAGCAGCCCGTGACAGCTGACTAACTCCCAGGTACCTATTTACTGCTAGGTAACAGGTGCAGCAGGGTGAAAGAAACTCTGCCCATCGTTTCTCGCCGGCGCCCGGGATCGAACCCGGGTCCACAAGGATCACGCGTCCAGTGTTATGTCCGCTCAGCCATCGGCTCCCTAGCATGGCTTCGTTGCTAGTATGCATTATGTCTTCGTTGAAGGCGTGAATTATGTCTTCGTTACTAGCATGAATTATGTCTTCGTTACTAGCGTGAATTATGTCTTCGTTACTAGCGTGAATTATATCTTCGTTGCTAGCGTGAATTATGTCTTAGTTACTGGCATGAATTATATCTTCGTTACTAGCGTGAATTATGTCTTCGTTGCTAGCGTGAATTATGTGTTTGTTGCTAGCGTGAATTGTCTTCGTTACTAGCGTGAATTATATCTTAGTTACTGGCATGAATTATATCTTCGTTACTAGCGTGAATTGTCTTCGTTGCTAGCGTGAATTATGTCTTCGTTGCTGTGTAGAATGTCTTCGTTGCTAGCATGCAGAGTGCCTTTGTTGCTAGCATGAAGCGTGCCGTAGCTAAATTTAAAATTAAATTTTGCCCCGAGGGGCGAGTTTATTAGGCATCGCCACTCATCTTGTGAGTGGACACACCGCCATAGCAGCATGTACAACACTCCCCAAAAGGAAGGAAACCCGCTGGGTTGTTCATCCTGCCACTTGTACCCAGACACAGCTGGGACTAGCTTAACTATTCCAAATGTAGGCTAGGTATAAGGAATGAGTGGTCGTTCACGGAGAGATGAGAATGGTACAGCCAGAGTAAAGCTGTCGCTGACAGCTTTACTAAAGCTAAAGCTGCCTTGGGTTGTAATGGCAGACTTTTTGATTGTTGTCAAAGATGGGACAGGAGTGAAATTTTGAGAACAGTCTCTCTGGGTAAGTATTGTGCCGCTGACATTTCTTTAGCGTGAAGTGTGTCTTCGTTGTTAGCGTGTTTCGTGTCTTCGTTGTTAGCGTAAGCCACTAGTTAGCCACTATCTAGCGTTAGCGTAACCACTACACATAAAGGGCATAACTGGTCGACCCCTCACAGTGTTAAAGAGAGAACTGGATAAGCCCCTCCAAAGGATACCTGATCAACGAGGCTGTGACTCATACGTCAGGCTGCGAGCAGCCGCGTCCAACAGCCTAGTTGATCAGGCCAGCAACGAGGAGGCCTGGTCGACGAACGGGCCTCGGGGACGCGAAGCCCCTGAAGCACCTCAAGGTAGCGTGTATCGTGTCTTCGTTGTTAGCGTGTATCATGTCTTCGTTGTTAGCATGTATCGTGTCTTCATTGTTAGCGTGTATCGTGTCTTTGTTGTTAGCGTGAAGTGTCTCTTCGATGTTAGCGTGTATCGTGTCTTCATTGTTAGCGTGTATCGTGTCTTCGTTGTTAGCGTGTATAGTGTCTTCGTTGTTAGCGTGTATCGTGTCTTTGTTGTTAGCGTGAAGTGTCTCTTCGATGTTAGCGTGTATCGTGTCTTCATTGTTAGCGTGTATCGTGTCTTCGTTGTTAGCGTGTATCGTGTCTTCGTTGTTAGCGTGTATCGTGTCCTCATTGTTAGCGTGTATCGTGTCTTCGTTGTTAGCGTGTATCGTGTCTTCGCTGTTAACGTGTATCGTGTCTTCGTTGTTAGCGTGTATCGTGTCCTCATTGTTAGCGTGTATCGTGTCTTCGTTGTTAGCGTGTATCGTGTCTTCGTTGTTAGCGTGTATCGTGTCTTCGTTGTTAGCGTGTATCGTGTCTCCGTTGTTAGCGTGTATCGTGTCGTGTCTTCGTTGTTAGCGTGTATCGTGTCGTGTCTTCGTTGTTAGCGTGTATCGTACTTTGGTTGTTAACGAGTAGTGTGCTCTGCTTGTTAACGTGAGGAATACTTTGGTTGTTGGCGTGTAGCGTGCTTTAGTTGTTTGCGAGACGCGGGCTGTAGTTGTTTGCGTGTGGCGTGCTTTGGCGTGTTTTAGATGTTTGCATGTAGCGTGCTTTGATTGTTAGCGTGTAGCGTGCTTTGGTTGTTAGCGTGTAGCGTGCTTTGATTGTTAGCGTGTAGCGTGCTTTGATTGTTAGCGTGTAGCGTGCTTTAATTGTTAGCGAGTAGCATGCTTTGATTGTTAGCGTGTAGCGTGCTTTGATTGTTAGCGTGTTTTAAGTATTAGCGTGTAGCGCGGTTTAGATGTTAGCGTGTAGCGTGCTTTAATTGTTAGTGTGTGGCGTGTTTTAAATGTTACCTTGCAGTGTGCTTTGGTTGTTAGCATGTGTGTGTGCTTTAGTTAACATGTAGCGTGCTTTGGTTGTTAGCGTGTGGCTTGCCTTGGTTGCTAGCGTGTGGCTTGCCTTGGTTGTTAGCGTGTAGCGTGCTTTGATTGTTAGCGTGTAGCGTGCTTTGATTGTTAGCGTGTAGCGTGCTTTGGTTGTTAGCGTGTGGCTTGCCTTGGTTGTTAGCGTGTTGCACGCTTTGGTTGCTAGCGTGTGGCTTGCCTTGGTTGCTACCAGGGGACGCGCCTCGTGAAGATAATGGTAGGGGCTTGCTCCCCTTCTAATACTTAATGGCGTGGTCCAAAACCTGTCCGGGGGTGTTTTAACAAAAGAACTGTGGACAACCCCCCTCCCTCCTGTTGTGACTAACAATCAATATTCTGTAACAAGTAAGTGGGTCGAGGATAAATCCTGCTGTCAAATTTTACAAGAGTATCACAATCGACTTGAGAATGGTCCAGGACGGACCGAAACGTCGTTGTCCCTTCACCTTCTAGTGTGTGGTCTGGTCAACATACTTCAGCCACGTTATTGTGACTCATCGCCTGCACAAGAGTATCAAAATCGTAATGTTAATAACGGAAAAGTAATGATTAGTATTAATTATAATGAAAACCAAAAAAATCATGATTGATTCAATAATTGGAAAATATATACATTGACGCAGGCGCAAACAGGTTGAAAATGCAGATAAGCTATAGATAACCGTATTATGAAGTCTTGGAAAGTACTAAAAACAGAAGAATATGTGGCTTCATTTGAGGGCTTAGGGATGGAGGGGGGCTTCGCTATGTGGTCATTGTGCAGTAAGTGATGCAATTGATATGTCAGTTGTAAGTGACTGGAAGTGACATTTATCAACTGTTAGGTAATTCCCTTCATTACCCTGACTGTTCATTTCATCCCCCTTCCATGTTATCAAGGAAAATACATCCCTATTAACATCTACAACCCCTTACATATAAATACAACCACTACATATTAACACCTACAACCTCTACGTATTAATACCTACAACCTCTACGTATTAATACCTACAACCCTTAAATATTAACACCTACAACCTCTACGTATTAATACCTACAACCCTTAAATATTAACACCTACAACATATTAATATAGACAACCCCTGCATATTAACTTACAACTACATATTAATACAACCACTACACATTAATACCTACAACGCCTACATATTAATATTTACAACCTCTACATATTCTTAGGTACAACCACTATATATTAATAGCTACAACCACTATATATTAATAGCTACAACCCCTGCATATTAACTGCTACAATGTACACATATTAACACCAACAACCTCTATATATTAACATGTACAACCCTTAAATATTAACACCTACAACTCTTAAATATTAACACCTACAACTCTTAAATATTAACACCTACAACTCTTAAATATTAACACCTACAGCCCCTATATGTTAGCACCTACAACCCATAAATATTAACACCTACAACCCATATATGTTATCACCTACAATTCCTTCATATTAAATTAACATCTACAGTCTCTCCAAAATAAGTTAAAAGCCATCTAAACTGACAACTACAAGCCCCGCGTATTAGTAGTTATGTCTTCACCTTGAGAGACATACGCAGCTGTCCATGTTAACATCTAAGCCTCCCTATAAAAAGCAATAGCTTCTCCAAATTAACACATAATTATACTATTATTGATATATATATTACTTTAGTGTGATTTCTTTTTTGTATATGTATAATGTTACTATTAACATGTTAATAACACATGCAAATCTTCTATATTTAAAACTACGTCTCCATGTTTCCGCTATATGAACAGCTAAAATACTTCAAATTCAAACGTTACAATCCATCCACATTAACAACTTTAGCCACTTTCATACGAACTGTTACGAACCATCCATTTCAGCGAACTTTTCCATATAACATACCTACAATTCCTCCAAATTTCCGAATATAATTCATGTGTTACAACCTATCCATATCCCTTGCTCAAAACCCTCCTCCCTATCGATTAGTCACTCTCTCCAAATCAAACAATTCAAACAATACCGTCAGTGCAAATACAATTACAAATCCGCCATAACGCACGCAACAAACCATACAAATCACTCACCACAACCCCCAACAATTACAACTACAACCTCCTGCATATCGACTGCCACAACGGGCTTAGGAGCGTATACACCTAAATGTGTGTGTGTACAGGGTCGATCGTTAACTGTTGAACCCCAACTTGCTAGCTGTCGGTTGTCTAATGTAGAGACTCCTGACCCTCCTGTTTAGTGTTCGGTTGTCTAATGTAGAGACTCCTGACCCTCCTGTTTAGTGTTCGGTTGTCTAATGTAGAGACTCCTGACCCTCCTGTTTAGTGTTCGGTTGTCTAATGTAGAGACTCCTGACCCTCCTGTTTAGTGTTCGGTTGTCTAATGTAGAGACTCCTGACCCTCCTGTTTAGTGTTCGGTTGTCTAATGTAGAGACTCCTGACCCTCCTGTTTAGTGTTCGGTTGTCTAATGTAGAGACTCCTGACCCTCCTGTTTAGTGTCATGTCTATTTCTAAAACAACTTATAGAATTAGAACCTACAATCTCTCCTTCTAGCTCATGCCATTTGCTCATCATACATGACAATATAAAACCACAAAGGAAAAATTAAATGAGAAACTACTTGAGTACGTGTTAATCAACACATCTTCAATGGATGTGTTTTGAAGGTGTGTTGTCGTTATACATTGTCACATTATTCATCACGTCAATTTGTGATTTTCCATTGAATTAACAAAAATTAATCTTACAATGTATAGGTGAAGTTTGATGGTACTACTAGTCAGATAAATTTGCTCTTTTCCCATAGCTTTATTATGCAACATATTTGTTTTAGGTTTTGTTAAAAAAAATCATTATTTTCAGTTTTATACAAATACAGTAACCTGTTTATTAAGCGAGGCTTTTTCAGAAAATTAATATTGCTGCACACTGTTTCTGATGGTAATACCATTATAAGTGCTGTCGTTATAAAGCTGAGCTTCCCTGTTCTGGTTGCCTGGTCAGTGAAGCTATTTGTTAGAAGCCAACACTGTCCGGTTGATCCGGTAACTTATGCAGAAACTTGTCAAGTTCCATCTTGACGGCTTCAACTTTTGTTCCACCAATATTTATTATTATATTTGCGGGAAAGAGGCTGAAGCGTCGTGTTTCTCTAATGTTTACTCATTACTCTGAGTGTTCTTGGTGACGTGAATGCTTAAGAGTTAGTGGATAATTCTACTTCGCACTTCATACGCCTGTAACTGGCTCGGAAAGGAAGGGGAGGGGGGGGGGGGGAAGAGGGGCTTGAGGAAAGGAGGGAAAGGGGGGGAGTGCACAGTTGGAATAATGAGGGTTGGAGAGGAAGAATGTGGGAGATAATAAGAGTAAGACTCACCACGCTGGCGCCGCTCAAGAAGTCGCCCTCATCTCCCATGGTAGCATCTGACGTGGGTGTGAGGGCATCGGAAGGAGGGCTGATGGGGGCATTGGTGGGTGTGGCGGCCTCGTCCGTTGGTGTCTGGGGACTCACACCCTTATCGTTCACACCCTTGTCGCCTGCTGCAAGAAAATCAAATAAAATATGAATAAATGTGAACATTTACGCAACAAGACAGCCTAGCCAACACGATGTAAATGTCGCATGACTAGTGAAACAAGACAAATATTCCCTGGACATTCCATAACAATTTGAAAACGCAAATCCAAATGTATAGGACAGGAATTTTAATGTTTTTTTATTTTGCTAAAATGCCCATAATTTTTAACATAAAAGACATTCAAAGCACTACTATCCCATTGACACAGACTAGAATCAATGGCTTGCATTTATGTAGATTTGAGATAAATTAATTGTCGATTGTGTGGACTGTCCTGCTCTTCCAATCTCCCAACAACTGAAAAAAAATACATAAAGCAAGCAAACAATTGTGCCAATTGTACCTAACTGGCATATTTAAAAAATCAGAGTAGTTTGAATTCTAGCAGCTAAGAGGTACTTATCAGGAGTGTTTTATCCGAAGCCTATGTTCAACAAATTAATTAATAGGTATATAACATGGAAAAGTGTCTAGACGTATGTGAAAAATTCAAATACAATAGTTAATACCACACAGCTGCTTGAAATGCAAAAATAAGCAAAATAACCGCTACCGTAGTTAATAATGTGCGCTTAACTTAAACGGTAAAAATAAACTTTTACGAAGAAACGAAATATTGCCTAGTCAATATATAAATTATAAAAAAAAATTATTACATATTCAATACACCGCTGCCGATAGAGAAAACTCCAAGAATCGTTCACAGGTAGATAATACGCTAAAATATTTATCAAAGGACAATGTAATATGTGATATTATAGATACACCCCAGTAAGCAATACTATATATTGCTTACACTGGCCACCTGTGTAATACAATGTGAACACAAAGGAAAATATACAAACTGTAGCCTAGGCTATAAATATACACGAGAGACGGAAGAGAAGAGAAGAGAATAGGAGGGAGGGAGGGAGGGAAAGAGAGGGAAAGAGAGAGAGAGAGAGAGAGAGAGAGAGAGAGAGAGAGAGAGAGAGAGAGAGAGAGAGAGAGAGAGAGAGAGAGAGAGAGAGAGAATATATACTACTTTTCAACGAGATTTATTTGCTTGAATTAAAACCACGAGTCAAACATGTGTCATATCTTTCTTTTAAAAACATGGCCTGACACCCCATTTGAGAACATCTAACGCATCATAACACAGACGAATGTCTGTCGTCCAAGACACGTTATTACGAGACATTCCACTGCAACGTGACGAAGGACGCACATCCGGTAAATGCCCAACGCTTAGTAAAGGACTAAGTAACGCTTTCGTCACAAGATTTAACTTCAATACGCTGAGATGAAGTTGAAAGGAATGGCAGTCTCGTACCATGTGTTCAGTCGTCAGTTATTATGGCAGAGTTAAGAGATCTCCGTCCACAATATTAGGCACACCGACGATGGTGATGCGTGGCATCACCATCTTCTCACGTCCCCCAACTGTCGTTGATACACTCGGAATCCCCCTAATACAAGGATATAAATATAAATACCTCCAGCAATGATGAATTTATATAAAGAATATGAAATTAATCAAGGAGGTATACACAGTGTAATTTATTGGGTCGAGACTATCAAAAAAGTGAAAACAGGAGGAGGGGGCAAGACAATAACAATTCGGTGATGGAGATACGGCAACACGCATGATTCATCCGCTTGGGTTGTATTTACGCGCGAGTTAACGCTGAGTAAGGTGGCGGGGGGGACGCGCATCCCTGGGAGGCGGTTGGGCATGTTGGGCTACTCCCCCGTCGCGTCTGGAGTTACATGATGAACTGCGGGTCCCAGGTGAGGCACGCACCCACTCACACACTCACCCTCATACGTGCCCACCCGCTCTCACCTGGGCATTACGCCACCCGCCACGCTTTTATTTCAACATGACATCTCGGTTTCTTTATTTTTCGGATTTATTTAAAAAAAAGGAAATCTGGTTATGGCTCATGGAGGATTGCCAACACTACCTGATTTTTTTTTCTTCATAACTATTCGTGACTTGCGCTTTGTCAACGCCCAAAGGCCGCTAATCTTTTCCGGAACGTCAAGCGTCAAGACACTGCAGCTTTATCCTGGCCCCTCTGTCACGCGCCCCTCTTCGTGTCTTCTTGTTCCTCGCATCAGCTACTCACTCAACTTCCTTTACCCTTGTTTGTACCATCTTTCCCTATATATTTAGTTTCTAAGCGTTTAATATATATATATATATATATATATATATATATATATATATATATATATATATATATATATATATATATATATATATATATATATATATAAATTTTTATGATTTTTGTTTTAAACTACTGCTTGCTTTATCTCCGCTCTCGTTTTCTCCCTCTGTACCCAAGCCACGTGATGTCATGTGACATGCTCGTCCCCCACGGGTGAATTGTGTCCACCCTCTGTCCTTTCTTTGGTGCTGTCTAAACCTGGGCATCTTGCGAGTTTCCTCTCACTGTCTCCTACAATGAGTCACATCCCCTGGTTGGCTCAGAGAAAGAAAGGATTCAACATAATTTACATTTTACGACGGCATCATGGGGCTGGAGGTTGCCACTGGATCTTGGTTGATAGTTGTGTAATAGTGAATCTATATTCTGACCTCACTTGGTCATGGTAGCCAGCGTCGATGCTGGACGTAAGCATCTCGCTCGCTCTCTCCCTACTACCAACGAGCGATAGTGACCCTGACCTGGCGATCGATAAGACGAAGAAAGGGCCAATCGAAAGGGGTCTTGGCGGGAGGTGGTTCCGAGAGCTCCTGAGGGAAGGGGGGAGGGGATAATAGGCGAAACGGCTGACGAAGAGGAAAGGGTCGCGTGTGGTGGATGGGGAGAGGGGGGGATGGTGAAAGCGCGAGGGGAGGAAAGGTGGTCACGGAGTATCAAGCATGTGGAATATACTACTATTAGTATTCGATTCAAACGTTGAAATATAAGTCTATCCTAACTTTTAATTAGTGGGAACTAGAAAGGTTATTTGATAAGCAAAACTTGCCATCTTTGGGTGACATAAAACCCCACGAATCAGTGGAGAGGAAATCAGCCACTCTAAAGGGGTGGTGTGGGAAGGTGAGCTGACCCAAAATGGCGATTTTCTCCTTAATTCTAAAAATATTCTCCTCGTCTTAAAAACAATATGTAATCACTTGTAAGAAAGCCTATATTAACTCTCTAAAAATAAGTAAAGTTTTAACGTCAAGCAATTAATGCTATCGCGGATATTAATCGTCGTAATTAATGTCTGCCAAGGCTGAGTGAGGGTTGGTGTTGTCCTTGGTAACACTGTGAGAGAGGATCGTCCGAGGGGAGCGGGGGCGATAATGGCACACGTGCAGCTGCCCACGGACGCCGAGGGGGAGCTCTGAATTTCAAATGCCCAACGCAAACCCCGGGACAAAGGACAAGTTGATGATGCTTGGACGGAGGACGCCCTGGTCACGAGAGATGATGTATATTAAAGGCAAGAGCCAGGGCGCCACGGAGGGTGATATACGCTCCTAGGCACTCTACTCTCGGGTAGATGAGGTTGTTCCTCCCGGTGGTACAGATGCTGACACGGAATCATGATTGATCTTGAGCCGCCAGCACCGCAGCCACCCCTCGCCCGCTGGTGTACCTCCCCTCCACAATCACCTCCATCACTTGCCAACAAAGATGAGCTCAAACATTATTGGTTTTGTGATACCAACTGGTTGTCATACAAATCTGATATTATAAAACTAGAAAAATTACTGATGTTTACCATAATAATTTCCTTTGTAAAAAAAATACTCCCCATTTACTTGCTTGCTGACCTAGTCTAGCCTATTATTACATTTTGTCATGCTTACTGCAACCCATCAAAGGTTAGGCTGTGATTGCTTTAGTAACTAACAAGGTTATTTGTCTCTCTACTCTTGCCCTACTCTTCTGGGGTAAATCAGCTCGTGTAAAAGTAGGTCTCTCCTTCCTTTTCTCTTTCTCGTCCATTAGCCTATGCGGATCCTAAACTTCCCCCCCCCCACCCCCCGTCATCACCCATCCTTATTCCCAGCTGTAACGATTGTAGAGGCTGCGTCACCGCTCCAGAGCACCCCTTCACCATCACGTTGGTGATGGTGAAGGGCGTTGTTACCATCAACGCCCTTACTCTACACAAAACTGTACAATGTTAGCGCGATTACTTCGTCAGTGGTTAAAGAGATGGGGGGGGGGCGGTGGTCTTAGTGGAACAGGTGGGGGAAGAGAAATGAGTGGCTGAACTCTCCCCCCAACGTTAAGGTAAACAGTGTTACACCATAATAAATGCACTGCCAAGTTTCACTAGCACCTTCACTCATATAGTATCGGAAATCTCATGACAACGTCATCACGCATTTCATTATATTTTAACACCAGACTTGGTTGCATAAAAGAATTTAACTAATGGAAGGTAGGTAATGCTGGAATTTCGGCCTTAGGTACAGGAACCGTATAGGTTATTCGATGAATTATTTTTTTCCCTTGAACGCGATTCCCCAATAGTTTTACATCCAGGGCTCCAATTAGCCTACTATTGGGTACACAGGGTCGAACACTGAACAAACGGCTCTTCGTTGTTTAATGTCGAAAACGTGTTATCTTTTGTCATGAAATGATATCAAATACACGCAATTTCAGCCGTAAACAACAGAAGTATGCCTTTGTGTAGGACCTAAGCCTAGGACCTAAATACACACTGCACTTATATTACCTAAAAAATGTGTTTTTATATAGACTAAGTCTATATAAGAATTTATATAGAATACTGTACACTGTATTCTTCTTGCTTAACCAACCACAGTCAAGTCATTACAGGTTTCACGAAATAACAGATGAATTCACTTTAATGAGACGAATATTTTTGTATTTTCCCTTAACGAGAAAATACGACCTGATAGATGTCTTTCAATCTTGTTAAAACATCATTCAACACCCGTCATGAATGGATGTTATGAGCGTACATGCAGCCGCAACTAGATTTAACTTAACACCTTGGCGCCTGCTCGCCCAACTTTATAAATATCATTTCATCCAACTTACTGTGACAATCAGACAAACACTGTTATTCCCCCTCGCGACAGTCCCCTTAGTGAGAATGGCGTGGGGAGCAGAGCTGACAGGCTCGGCCAGAATCAATGCTACATTAACATAATAAGCACGGTATCACCCGCTCACAGCCTCGCCCTTTCCTCCTCCATCCTACGCTTTTCTATCATATTCAACTAAACTAAAATGAAGAGATTACGTTCATACAAACTATATTTTAACGAGTAGTAAACAAGTTTTGTCCTATTTATATTTAAATAGTCGGTGCCACTAACAAGATTAAGTGATAGCATAATAATAAGTGTTGGGCTTAAGGCCAATCAACATCTGGAGGGTTATTAAGGCAACAACAGCTTACTGACCAACCAGCAAGAATACTTTAGTACTGAACATAGATAGTCCAGGGCAAAAGTAAACTCTCTAAACACTATATACGGTGTGTATATATACACCGTATATACACCGAGAAGAGGAGTACTCCTCTCGCTGTATGTCCCCCGAGTGATGGCATTCCGGAAATGCGTGGTTAATTCTAAGATAATGGAGACAGTTGGTTATAGTGGAATAGTTCAGGCAACTTATACAATACTGTGTTGTGACCAATGCCTGTGCATAATGAGAACATCGGATAAATACCTGTTGACATGTGCATCTTGTATAATCACTTTGAAAAATGTATTCTTTATACATTAGAGCCTTAGTAATATAAAACGAAATATATAAAGCACATTTTTTATTCAACCTAGATGGTCTTTCTAAACGTCCACATGTGGTTATATATTAATTTCTAACATTAGTTACTTCGTAGCAACCGTTCTAACCGAGATCAATTTTGTTTTTCCTAAACCTTGGCATCTGTTATAGTTCAAAAGAAATTACAATAAACGTAATGTCTTGGCAAGAATCTTTATATCTTGATGTTTCAGGAGACACCTAGCCTTGAACTTTACCTTATCGCAAGACGTCGTAAATTAGTATTTCCGTTGGCATAAACATCACCCTCATCACTCCGTCACAGCCTTAGACACCATCGTCGTATATATACTAGTCACGTACCTTCAAGGACCGCCTTACAGCCACTGACGAAACCCAGACTGTGACAACTGGGCTCATGAACAAGACGGACAGTTCACAGGTGGGCCCCCACTCGCTCCCAAGATAATAGTGCTAGTGATCTACAGGAAGGATGGCGGCCGGCGAGGGGCTTGCCTGGAGGGAGTCGATACTCAGTGTGTGTAGGAGAGAGCCAGAGACAAGACACACACACAGTACGGTAGAAGCAGGAAAATTGTTTGTTAGCTGGTCACGTAAACTATCGTGGGCGTGTTTATTCCGTAGACTTTCTTACGAGGCTCCTTAATAAATTTGAGGTTCCGCATTTATATATTAAATTTTGATATAGGCTGTCCATTCATATACGAAAAAATATCGGAAAACGTTCAATTGGTAAATTATACATTGTTTGTACAGATAAGTTTTGAATTACTGATCCCCTGTATATTATATATTCATCGCATCTCACAAGTTTTCCGCTTTTCGTTAAGTAGCTTGACTTTATGACGTAGCCTACGGTTTAATTAAAATATATACACTCCCGAACACTTGCTTATGTATAATCTACCGGTTTTCGGCGTGAATTTTTAATAACAAATCCGATAAGCATGACCCACGTTCACAATTCGCAAACCAAGAGTAATAGACTCTGAGTAATATAAGGACGCTACTTATTAATAAAACATGCAACAACTTACAGAGGTAGTTGAAAACGCCGGCGAAGTTCCAGAGTCTGAGGGAGTCGGTGTATGGGGATGGAGCGTACATGGTTCTGACACCAGCCATGGTGCTTACAGCCCACCACTTGTTAACTAATTTTCACTAGCGTTACCAAGCGGTCCACATGTCCGACGACACTACGGCGCGCACTCTCCCGCCACCACAACTTTAATGATCCAACCAGACCGAGACCTTGGCCAGGCGTGTCAGTTAAGGTTACACCGGAAGAGCCGTCGTCGCATGTGACCTGGGCTACCTCCGCTCGCTCGGGGTCACTTCGGCTCCCTACGTCTCTCCAAAAGGCAAAACAGATCAGGTTTGTAGGGGCAGCCGAGAGCAGGAGCTGAGGTGGAATCTGCACAGGAATATGATACACGGTCACTTCAGGTCAACCACAGTAGCTTGGGGAATAATTTGGCAGTGTGGCAGAAGGCTGGACAGGTCACTGGGGGGCCGGTGGGGTTTACCAGGAGGATCCAATTGTACACAACGATGGCACTTAAAATTCGTTTGAGGTCCAGATGGGAATCAGCCGCGTTGCGTACAAAGTAACCGTTGTTTCAGGAGGGTTCGTTGTTTTAGAGAAATATCAACACTGAAAAATTTCTGTTACACTTGATCACAGTCACAAAAGCGTCTCCGCTAAATTCCAATGGGGTCGAGTCGCTGATGTTTTTTTATAAGGTTCACTGCAGTACAAAAGGCTCCATGAGAAATCTACACTTAAATGTAGCATACGTAACGTTAGTGACTAAGTAGGTAGCACCTTGAGGTTTCAAATGAGGAGCGCGAAAAAGTGCGTGCTATCAAACTCGCAGCTCCTACATGACTGAGGGAGTGAGGGGAGTCGGAGAGAGCCTCAGGTAGGGGACGCTGGACTCCGCTCTCATTGGTTACTACCGCTTCCGTCGCCACGCCTCCTCACCCACCCGATGCTATGCACCTTCGGCCAATTAACTCTTACCTATTTCTACGTCGTTTCTACGTGCTGCGTAACCCACACAGGAAAGTATAACCTTATGTCAATAATTGCCAAGGCAGATGTCAGAGTAAGGTGAGTTAATTCGTGAGAGTGGGAGGGTAGTAGTGGTGTGTGTGAGGAGGTGAATCACGCGCTCCCAGACACATCACCTACCACGGGTGAGGATGCTCAGTATTACGTGAGATGTCGATCTGTTCAGTTGCTCTCCCGCCGCGGAAGCTGGCCAGGGAAGCCTGTTCAGCTTTGGGGTTTCGAGCTTAAAAGTCTCATTATGGGTTATTAAAGTGTTTCTTAACTGGACATTAATTAAAAACTGTCTATATATTATATATATATACCGTAGATAAATCTGTGAACGTGTAGAAAAAGACCTGTCATTAGCAGGGTGTCAAAATTTCTACTTAGGGTTCCTGCTGGTAAATAGCGGTTCATTGTTGACATATATTTAGTTTCTGCAGAATGCCAGTAAATTACTCTCTGCATCTTATTCTCTTGAGTACTTCATTTGTAGCTGTGCAATTTCTGAAGTACCTAAACATGACAGGTTCAACATCAGCAGTACTAGCTGAAGCTATTTATCTGCAAGACGGTTGCGTGAATGTAACATTAGTGGATAAACAACACATACATGTATAAAAACATATATATATAGTTTAAGAACTAAGTGTTTCTCAAAGAAATCAACGAGCACCCCCTATCATCCAGCTATATCTCATCTCTCAGATAACCACGACTGTTGAGCTGACGAGGAATATAAGTTTGTTCACATAACCAACAAATAGCAAACATATGCACAAATCAGACACTTGTTTGCAGCTTTATCTGGGTTACTGGTCCGAAATTCGACAATAACGACAAGAACAACAACACTGGTCGGTTGAGGGAGGCGCTCACGTTGGCAGCTGCGCGATAAGCTACTTTGCTCCTCCAGAAATTAACCGCACTAACTACGTGTATAAGTTGCAAGCACCAAATTCATCTTTTATATAACTGCAAAAATAATGTCTAAACTAGAGACGTATATCACCAAGTAATGATATAAAAAGGCCAAGTTTAGCATCGTACATCAAACAGCAGGGGGTGAGGGAGGGCGGAGCCCCGAGCGGGTGGCGGGAGGGGGAGGGAGGAGCCAGGGTGCGCGCGCAGGCTCTCCCCTGAACCTGTTGGTGTGGCGGCGGCAGCGCGGACGGTTCAAAGCACTTGCTGCCGTTACCGTCATTATGTGGGAGACGCCGCGCTCCTCACTACTCCGCTCTTCCTTACCCCAGATCACACACATTCTTATCTGCCTCTCTCTCTGCCCAACCCCCAACCCCCCTTCTCTCTCTCTCTCTCTAAGTTTTCTTTTCCTTTATTTCTTGCTTCTGAAGCAGGAAACGTTAGATTCGTTAAACACATCACCGTGGTAGGTGATGTGTTTAATATATATATATATATATATATATATATATATATATATATATATATATATATATATATATATATATATATATATATATATATATGACAATGTCAGACCACGGAGGAAAAATGAAACAGGAATTTCCTTAAGTACTTCCGTATATTAAATACATCTTCAGAAGGTCTAGCATAGTCTAGGTCATAGTCATAGACCTTCTGAAGATGTATTTAATATACGAAAGTACTTAAGGAAATTCCTGTTTAATTTTTCCTTCGTGGTCTGACATTGTCACATTCTTAATCACGTGTTTATTTTCGTGATACACACACACACACACACACACACACACACACACACACACACACACACACACACATATATATATATATATATATATATATATATATATATATATATATATATATATATATATAATGGTTACTATAGTTTTACGTCGTGTGAGCGCGCGTGTGCGTGCCCCGACGAGAGCCTTGTCTACCAAGAATTTGATTTCTATATTTCTTAAAACAAATAATATTTATATAAAACGGTGGCCATTTATATATAGCCATCTCTCAACACACGACACGAAATAGCCAGTATATAAATCTTCCTACAGATATACATATAGAGTTTGACCTAGCAGAAACTTCCCTAGGCTACGCTTGGCTATCCTAGACTATCCTTGGCTATCCTAGACTATCCTAGGCTATGCTAGACTATCCTAGGCTATGCTAGACTATCCTAGGCTATACTAGACTATCCTAGGCTATGCTAGACTCTCCTAGGCTATACTAGACTATCCTAGGCTATACTAGACTATCCTAGGCTATTCTAGACTATCCTAGGCTATGCTAGATTATCCTAGACTATGCCAGACTATCGTAGACTACTCAAAACAATCGTAGACTATCCTAGGCTATCCTAGACCATCCTAGGCTATGCTAGGCTGTTGAGTTACTTTTACGAACGAGGACACCATGCCACTGGCTGAGTTACCTTAGATGATGAGGGAATTATTTGAGCATCATTCCGTCAGGTTAAGCACCATAGGGTCTAGTCAGTACCTGGAAGGGTTCGTTGTTGTTCAAGTTAATCTAGTGTAACTCAATATTTAAGCTTGCTGGTACGCGATCTATGAATCAAAATATTCACAATTCGACTTTCACAATTTGAACACACAATTTGCTTCATAAGACTGTAAATCAAGCCATTCAAACAATGCCAAATTTAGACTAACACAATTCAGATTTAAATCAAGTAATTGATTCGTTAAAATAATTTCCAACCAAAGTTCATCCATCCGGGCCAAGAATAAGACCCCGCCAAGTTTTACCATCGTGTGGAAACACCCCAATATAACTTAGCATTCCGGGGGTCAACGTCCCCGCGGTCCGGTCTCTGACCAGGCCTCCTGGCTGACGGTCGGGTCAACCAGGCTGTTGGACGCGGCTGCTCGCAGCCTGACGTATGTATCACAGCCTGGTTAATCAGGTATCCTTTGGAGATGTTTGTCGAGTTCTCTCTTGAACACTGTGAGGGGTCGGCCAGTTATGCCCCTTATGTGTAGTGGAAGCGTGTTGAACAGTCTCGGGCCTCTGATATTGATAGTTCTCTCTTGAACACTGTGAGGGGTCGGCCATTTATGCCCCTTATGTGTAGTGGAAGCGTGTTGAACAGTCTCGGGCCTCTGATGTTGGTAGAGTAATAGCCAAAGCGATTGTGTATATTTTCAAAAAATTCTTTCGGAATTTCTTTGCCCTTAATAACAATAAAAAAACATTGATTACATGACATTCTAATTTAGGCCTAGTTATGCCTGTGTTTGGCAGTACTGAGGACTCGCCAACATCTTTATGTTAAGTATGGTTATTAGGTTAGTTTTGGTAAAATTTATTAATTTGTAAAATCTTGTTCATTAATATAAACAAATCTACCAATCCACACATCGTAATCTATATTTATTTTATTTTAACACACTGTATCAGTCGTTCCTTGTGCCATAGTTAAGTGTTCTTTGTGCCACAGTTAACTGTTCTTTGTTCCGAACTGTTCTTTGTGCCATAGTTAACTGTTTTGTGCCACAGTTATCTGTTCTTTGTGCCACAGTTAACTGTTCTTTGTGCCACAGTTAACTGTTCTTTGTGCCACAGTTAACTGTTCTTTGTGCCATAGTTAACTGTTTTGTGCCACAGTTATCTGTTCTTTGTGCCAGTTATCTGTTCTTTGTGCCACAGTTAACTGTTCTTTGTGCCACAGTTAACTGTTCTTTGTGCCATAGTTAACTGTTCTTTGTGCTATCGTTAACTGTTCTTTGTGCCATAGTTAACTGTTCTTTGTGTTACAGTTAACTGTTCTTTGTGCCAGTTAACTGTTCTTTGTGCCTTAGTTATCTGTTCTTTGTGCCATAGTTATCTGTTCTTTGTGCCACAGTTAACTGTTCTTTGTGCCACAGTTAACTGTTCATTGTGCCACAGTTAACTGTTCTTTGTGTCACAGTTAACCGTTCTTCGTGTCACAGTTAACTGTTCTTTGTGCCATAGTTAACTGTTCTTTGTGCCATAGTTAACTGTTCTTTGTGCCATAGTTAACTGTTCTTTGTGCCATAATCTACTCGATTATCTCTGAGACTGAATCAGCTGGTGGATTTATTTTACAATCGCTTTGCTGGGTCTCTCCCTCTGCAGTTTTATTGTTCGCAATCAACTGTTCTTTGTTTATTCAATCAGCTGTTATATATTTCATCAACTGTTCTTTGTTTATTCAATCAGCTGTTATATATTTCATCAACTGTTCTTTGTTTATTCAATCAGCTGTTATTTATTTCATCAACTGTTCTTTGTTTAACAGTAATTGTTTATTGTTCAGCTTGCTTTGTTTTGTTTCTAATCATTTGTTCTTAGTTTTTTTTCATCAGCTGTTTTATGCTGTTCAGCTTTTCATTGTGTATCAATTAGCTCTCTATTGTATTGATTTACAATCAATTGTTATCTGTATATCAAATACGGTAGATCTGTGTAATCTGCTTCACATTCAGCTGTTCTATTTACCCCTCAACTATTGTACGCTTATGCCAGTAACTGCAATTATGATAACTGTTTAAACAAGCTGTTGTGTCAAGGAAGAAGACCTAAAGAAAGTCAAGCACTAATTTGTAATATAGATGTTCATTTAATTCTTGTCTTAATTTGTATTAATTATTATATATAATAATTGTATTAATTCTTAATACCACAATCGGACTTTCCATATAATTTTAATTCATAATTTCAATTTAATTCAGCCTGTGTATGTTTATACGTTAGGCTTATTTTGAGACCTGCCCCCTCGCAAAATTTACTGCTAAGTGAACAGAGGCCTTAGGTGATAGGAAACGTGCCAAACCATTTCTGTCCAGCCCTGGATTCAAACCCGGAATTCCCGATATATTTTATTAGCCCAAGGACAATTTTT